CCACTCTACTTTGAGAAGGTCTCTCCTGTCAGATTTTGGGTGCCTTTCCCTCTGAGTCATCTTTTGGCACTCTCTCTGACAATGTTTTGCTACTATTCATTAAGCCTTTATTATCTGACAATGTTTCGATGCTATGAAGTTTTCAGTAGCTAATTCCTCTCAAGTGGATAGCCTATGTCTTATGTTGTAGCCTGTTCTTAATCTGGAAGCTCTGCTGAAACCTGTTCACTTTGGGTGACCCTATTGACATTTGAAATACCATTGACATAGCTTCCTGCATCACAGTGACACACAAGCCATTGAAGGACAACAAACTTACAGACAGGTGGTGGCTCATACATTCTTTTAAAGTATGCATATGATACCATACATTCTTTAAAAAAAGAATGAAGTATCCATCAAAAAGATTAAGATGTTTTCTAAACATAAAGCGGGTCAAACATCAAAGGCTCTAGTCGAACAGGATAGAAATGATACTTGCTCAAAGAGGCCTCTCCCATGATGTGACCTAATAGAACATAAACAACTCCAGGAGGGGATTGCTGAGAGCAGTCAAGCAGTTGTGGGACGATTAGAATAGAGGGCAGATCACAGGCCTATAATGGCTACTTGGGGTGATGTTGTAGAGAATTCCCCGCCCTTCTTCCTATTGGCATAGATCCTACATCTGGTTTCTTGAGACTTGGATTGCCATGCTGCCTGCCAACGCTGGGAGCTTTTGATGGCCTTCATGTTGCCTGTGGACCCTGGGAGCAATTGGTGGCATGTCATGCTGCCTATCAACCTTAGATTCACTGGATTTAGCCTTCACCAGGCTGCTTCCTGGTTCATCTTCCAGCTTCCTGGTTCATTGACCTTGGCACTTGAGTGAGACAGGAAGGGCCTCCAGTTTAGCAAATGACTCACAAACTTGAGCTAGTCTGTGCTTACTTGCTTCTGCAGCTGTGTGGGCTGCTACCTCCCCATGTAAAATTCTTTTTTATACATATATGTGCCACTGGTTTTTCTTCTATAGAGAGCTCAACCTAGAACAGTACTCTAAAAAAATAATGTGAGCATGAATATGTTCATTATCATGACTAGAGAAATAGTTTTACTGGTATACACATTTGTTAAAATGTATCAAGTACTATACTTAACACAATCTACTGTCACTGAGATGTTTCCAACTCACAGTGATCTAACAGGACAGAGCTAAACCTCAAGCCTGTACATCTTTCTGGCAGCAGAAAGTCTCATTTATTTTTTCTGTAGCGAGGCTGGTAGGTTTGAATCGTTGACTGCCAGTTAGCAGCCTAATGTATAACCAACTGTGCCACCAGCACTCCTGATGTGCACTTCACAGTTTGGCATTTAAACCTCAATAAAACTGTTAAATTATGCAACTATTCTATTTTATCCCTAATTTTTAAAGTATATAGATGTGTGTTAAACTGCATTCTACAGAGAAAAAAACTAGTGAGAGATAAAAGAAAGAATTTTATATCTAGACAGTAGCTCATAGTCTAGAAGAAGTGAAGTCTAATCTGTTTCAAATCTGGGGGTCAAATGCAGCGGTCCTCAACCTGTGGGTCATGACCCCTTTGGGGACTGAATGACCCTTTCACAGGGGTCGTCCAGTTCATAACAGTAGCAAAATGGCAGTTATGAAGTAGCAACGAAAATAATCTTATGGTTGGGGGTCACCACAACACGAGGAACTGTATTAAAGGGTTGTGGTATTAGGAAGGTTGAGAACCACTGAGCTAAACACTTTTCCTGACTCATGCAGCTGCCGAGGCTGATGAACCAAGAAACAGGAAGATCAGAGGCAGGTGGAAGTAGAGTCGGGACTCCAAGGTCAGCAAGGTAGGCTCATAACTGCAGACTCCGAGAGCAGAGTCAGATGAACACAGGCAATTGGGCAGGCAGATGATAGCTCCCAGGGTAAGTTGACGATGCAGATACAGGATCTGGACCAGCAAGAAGGGGAGACATCAAACCACAGAGTCTGCTTAAACAGGAGTACAGCACACCCTCAAGGAAAGGTCTTTTTAATTCTATCAAGACTTTGATCTGATAAAGGGGGTAGCATTCTATCTTAGGAGCTCTGGTGGCCTAGTGCTTATCCATTGGGCTGCGATCTGCAAGGTCAGCTGTTCAAAACCACCAAAATTGCTCTATGGGAGAAAGATGGGGCCTTCTAACCCCGTTAACAGTTACAGCCCTGGAAACCCAGAGGAACAGTTCTACCCTCTCCTCTAGGCTATGAGTTGGCATCAACTCGATGACCGTGAGCTACCACTCTGATCTTTGCACAGCTGCGAGGCTGCTGGCACAACAGCCCATCATGGAATTGACTACATTATGGTAGGCCACTTTATGGGAGAATCCTGTCTATGGCATTTGCTTAATGTCCCATATTAAGGGACACATCACTAGTTTTATTCATTAATTCAGGAAACATTTGAAGTGTCATGTGTCAGGGCTCTGGAGAAACAGATCTCCAATTAGTGATGCAGGGAACATTTACTGCACCCTGGCGAGGCAGAGAATTGTTAAGTTGGACTGCTAACCACAGGTCAGCAGTTAGAACCAATCCTGGGGTTGGTTCTAGAACCAATCCAAGATGGGGCTGTCTGCTCCAGTGAAGTGGACAGCCTTGAACCCGAAAGTGCACTTGTACACTCTTACAGGGCTGTAGTGACTTTGGAGCCACTTGATGGTACTGGGTTTTGGTTTGGTGTATTGTGTGATAAGGAGCCCTGCTAGTGAAAACACTCAGCTGCTAACAGGAAGCTGGTGGCTGGCACACACCCGCCATTCCATGGAAGAACATTTCGATGTGGCAGTCTACTTCTGTACAGATTTACAGCCGTGCAAACTCTATAGGGCAGGTCTACTTTGTCCTGTAGGGGTGCTCTGGATCATAACTGATTCTTTGACAGTGGTTTGGATCATGTAACAACTACTGCTTTTACATGCATCACCTTAAAATGTTCTTTTCAAAAATTACTTGTATTAATTGTACATATAGGAATTGAAATGGAAGAAGTTAACAAAGTGGCAGAGATGAGACTGAAGTCTCTGCTTATGTGACTTCAAGGTCATGTTACTTTTCATCAAACTACATCAAGACACTATTACAATGCACCTAAGAGCGTTCTGGGGCCAGTGAATAAATCTCACTTTCACAGGAAGCCAGTGAAGGCTCTAATGCTTGAGAAGCAGTTGAGGCTCCCAACATTATTTAGAATTTTAAGGGAATATATTTGTGATGACCCAAGAGGCAAATTTTATAGCTATCCCTCAGGCAACATTAATCTTTCCTTTTCCAACTCTCCAGCAGTACATCACTTATGTAGTTAATTTAGAATGCATCCATTCCATACTGTAATGATTTATTTGAGTTTCTAACTGACAATAACAGTGGGTGGGATGGGACGATGGGTAGAGGCTGTCACTGGTATTTAAAATAATTTTAAAAACTCACTTCCATGAGTCGATTCTGACTCACAGTAGCCCCATAGGACAGGATAGAATTGCTTTTCTGAGACTGCAACTCTTTAGGGAGTAGAAATCCCCATCTTTTTCCCATGAGTGGACTGCTAATCTTTTGATTAGCAGCCGGTAGTATTTTAAAGCACCTACCATAACTGAGGATCTTCTAAATCGTATAAATAACTATTCACAATTCTTTGGATTAAATACTATTACCAACAACACTCGATTGCAACACTAAAAAAAAAAACACTGAAAAAAGGAATACACTTAAGACCTATGAAACAAACAACTATCTCCATGTGCGCGTAACATTTTGTCCTGGAATATATTAAACAGCAATGGTATTTAACAAAAGTTTGGCGATCAAACACATTGACACATGTACAAATTACATCCCAAGCTACTTAGGAATCCGGATTAAGTGTGTGTTATTTTATTACTTCTTTATGTTGTGGATAATAAAAAGCTGAGCCAGCTTTTAAATTTTTTTCTTATAAATTTGGCCTTGGCTTATGTTGCAAAGTATCACCATTTCAAAAGCACAAATTAAAACTCAAGGGTCATTTGTTCAGTATGATGAGATTGGATATTTGGATAGCATCATTGGCATTATGTTCTGGATATACGTTTCTGCATCAATAGCATTCATTATTCCATGAAGGGCAGGGCTATATCTAAAAGCTATATGTAGTACTCCTGCGTGTTACTCAAGGTTGCTTACTGAATCCTTTATGACGCTGATAAAAATCGCTTTACATCGCTAAGGACAGGGTTGCTTCCTAGTTATTAATGAAAGAGTGTGCCATCATGAAGCCATCGATTACACAAAAGTAACCTGTTATAGCCATACAGATCCTTTTAAAAATAGCTCCTTTCCCTTCCTAAAGCTTGTACTAAGCTACTCAATTTGTCCAAGTTTGTTGAAGGCCTCTTATCTGCCCAACTAGGCTAAATCATGAATGTTAGATAAAACAAAGCCCTAATTTTGGTGAGTGTACAATCAGCTTTCTCACTGGATTATCAAACACTGATTTTGGTGAACAATTTGGCACACTTTAGGAAACAAAAAATTCACCCCTTTGGAAACGCCTGTCAGGCTACCTGTCTGTGGGCGGGACTACTCTCAATCACCTCCTCCATTTCCGGGAGCAGGACTCTGGTGGCGTGGTGGTTAAGCGTTGGGCTGCTTACCGCAAAGTCAAGAGTTCGAAACCTCCACCCTTCTCCGCGAAAGATGAGGCTTTCTACTCTCGTAAAAAGTTATCGTCTCCGAAACGCACGGAGCAGTTCTGACTTGCCCTATCGGGTCACTATGAGTTGAAACTGACTCAAGGCAGTGAGTTTTTAAAAGGGCGCTTTCCAAAGACTCAAGAGGAAGTGTGCTTCCGCCTCATTCGTCAGGACGAGTGCGCATGCGCCCCTTGTGACGGACCGTGAATGACCCTGAGAGGCCGCCGTCAGCGTAGACGTCGCGCGTGCGCACAAGCTCGGCGCAGAGGCCTGGCGGAAGCCAAGATGGCGCGTAGGTGCCCTCCAAGCCGTAATTGGTGCCTTATCATTCTCTGAGCGGGGTATTTTGGCTAGGGGCTGCTGCGAACGCCTCTTCTGTCGCCATGGCCCGGCATCGGAATGTTCGAGGCTATAACTACGACGAAGGTAGGTGGTAAAATCTTGCGCGGAAGTCATTTTTGCTCTGCCAGCCGGGATCCCAGCCCGTTGGCATCCACTTCGATCTGTAAGTAAGCGTAATTCGTCAGCGGTGTTAGGCTGGAATTCAGGGGGAGTCCAACGGGAGACCATCCGGACAGCAGGCTCCCAGAGACGAGCGTAGTCCAGGTTTTTGCTTTCTGGGATTGACTGGCCATATTTATGGGGAGGTGCTACGCCGCGTCATATGGAAAGGACGGTGGGGGAGGTTGGGATCCGGTGATATTTATTGCTCGTGAGCTTATCACCTCTCCCTCCCATTGTTCTACCTCCCCCCCCCCAGTGGGGAACACACGTGGATCTGTCCCCTCTCTTTTGATTCTTATTTCGGAAATGACCATCAAACAGTGGTTCCTCAAACGGATTCACTTAAAGTTTACGTTCAATTTAATTGGTCTGGCGTCATTGTATTAGACTTACATGGTAAGTCCTTTGTGTATGTTTGTGTATGTTCACACATGTGTAGTGCAGAACCTGGCTTGAGCAATCTGATTATTTTTCTTGAGTATCCATTTAAGGTAGAAACTTGGGAGACAGTAGATGGATACATAGTAAAAAGGCCCAAACAGGAGGTCCACCATGATCCTGAGGGGTACAGTCCAGTTTTGGCTGGTCGTGCTTAATGTAATTGTATTTTGAAATAGCAGAAATAAACAGTAATTGAGGAAAAAGAAACTCAACTTGTGCGTGTAAGTAAAAGTGTTCTAAGAGTTTAAAGGGGGTTAGAAATAGTTAACAGAAAAACACAACGTCTCTACTGTGGATAGTTTGTGAACTAATGAAGATTAGTTTTTAAAAAATTGCTTTGTAAAGTACAGAGCATGCCTCTCCAATAGATGTAGCACACTGCTACATTTGGATACTGTGACCAGCACGTTGTTTCTCTTGTTCACTTCAGAATGGAGACCCTTAAAAATTGAGTCTAAGTATTGTTATGGGCCATTGTCACTTGCGAAATGACTAGACTGGGGATGGTGGTGGTGGTGGGGATATTTTTGGAATTATATAAAGGACATGGATAGGCCTAATTAGGACTCATTAATTTCTTTAACAAGCACTTATCTTTTTCTCACCGACCTTGAGTGTCCCAGCATCATAGTAGCTTTGTAGATGGACAGGATGATATTTGAGAGTAATTTTAGGTGGGGTGATAATAAGTAACAGATAATTAGAGTACTAGAGATGCTATAAAAATATAAAGCGATATGGGAGCTATGTAAATGAAAGAATTCAGAATGTCTAATTCAGGTTTGGGAGCAGAAACGGCATTTTCTGGTCAGGGAGGGCTTCCCAGAGGTGGTGGCTTTTCACCTGAGGTGAGCCTCCTGCTACATTTTTTCTCACCTTGGTCACCTGAGGTCAGGTTGTTTGTTGTCATTCTGTCCTTGAAACAGATGATGACATCATAACCAAGCTTTTTCTATAGTGTAAGAGGTTCCCCCTTTTCTTGCTTGTAAGAGTTCTACTCATCTTCAGATTCCAACTAATTTCTCCTTCCCAGTTAAGCATTCTCTTGGACTCAGAATACTACTTTGGAAAAGCTCAAAAGTAATACACTGTTATTCCAGACAGGTTAAGGAGATAGAAGTAAGCTATTTAAACGACCCTAACATAGCCACCATTCAGAATTAATCCTTGTGATCCCAAACCTATGGCATCTCTGCTTAACTCTCAACATTGTTCTCTGTAAATTGGATTGTACTTTACGTGACTGTATCAGCTATTTATTTGAAAGCACCCTGAAGACAAATCCATACTTTCATGCTTAATTCTAGTACTTGGCTAAGTACTTTTTACACGTTGTGAAGAAATTAGTCATTTTATAAAGATCCCCGGAGAGTATGTTTTATATCTTTTACATGGATCACTTCATAGGATCAATTTTTATGTTGACAAATTGATCTAGTAAAGAAAGATTATTGTGCTTTTGCCAAATTGTGTGTGTGTGTGTTCTAAATTCATATTTATGGGTCCCAGGAAAAAAATCCAGAAAATTCCCAAAAGCAGAACTTGAATTAGCCAGGTGCCAAGTAAGCCCTTCACGGAGTCGGTGAGAATGAAGCCATACACAGACATTCCCCGCTGCAGCCTCTGCGGTTTCACTGGTGCTCAGTCCCTCCCCAGCTCTGCCTCTCTGAGCTTTGCTCAGTGGACATCTTGGTTGCTGTTTCTGTACTCCCTTTGTTTGGAGTGGATGGGTGGAGGTGGGAGGAAGAAGGGCAGGCTCCCAATATCAATTAATTGGTCAAAGCCTTCCTTCAAAGGCTGAGAGATAGCATGAAGTGTTTTTTACATAACATTTCTAGTCTATCAGGGATTAGAAGTAATGTAGAAATGATTTAAAGTATACAGAAAGATGTCTGTGTAAAAGCTATGCTATTTCATATAAGGAGCTTGAGAGTGTGAATTTTAGTATCCATAGGAGTCCTGCAGTATACCGAGGGGATAGTTGTATTTATTTGCAGATAAATTGTTACTTATTACCTTAGCATTATTATCTAATAATTAATATATGTTAAACATTTTAAAAAATCTAATAGTAGCACTTACGTAGTTTTTTTTTTGTATGCCATAGCACTTGGTCTCAGCCTTTGAATGTGCTATTTCTGCTGCCTGGAATACCTTCAGAAACTAGCAAGCTCTCTCTATTTGGAATTGATTTAGATATTATATTGCAGAAATTCTACCCTATCCACCCATCCTAGTGGAGAAATGTAATTAGGAGATAAAAATCAAATAAATAAACATAATTTCTCAACATACGCTCCATCAAGTTCAAGACACTTTTATAAGCGACGATACCAGCCTTTTAGTCCATCCCTAAAACCTGGTGTTGTACTGGTTACTCCTTGAACTTCCGCCTGAAAGGTCAGCAGTTCAAAACCACCAGCTGCTCAAAACTCACAATTCAGTTTTACCCTGTCATATGGGTCAGTGTCAACTCAATGGTAGTGAGTTTGGTTTTTGTTTTTTAAAGATATCAGGGTCCTGGGAATTTAACCAAGTCAGTGCAATCTGTTTTTATATTTTTAACTGAAGAAAAATAAGTATGAGTTGGCCTGCAGTCTGTAAGGTTGGGAGTTCAAAACCACTAGCAACTCCTTGGAAGGGAAATAAGACTTTCTACTCCTGGAAAGAGTTACAGTTTTGAAAACTCTAAGGCACAGTTCTACCCTGTCCTATAGGGAGGGTCACTATGAGTTTGTATTGACTTGTTGGCAGTGAATTTTTTGAGTCTTAGAGACTTCGTAAGCTTAGGAAACAAAAAAGTCTGAAGGACCCAAAGCAAGATGATAATGCCTAATGATCCCCCCTCGAAATTACCCTTGTTTGATGAGAGGAATGAGCAGGAGTGTTATCTTGGTGGAAAAGGACTCTGGTGAAGCTTTGGCTAACTTTCTCTCAAAATATTGTCAGAATAAGCAGATGACAACATGTTGGACCCTCAACAAGCAATATGCATCACCCTTCCCCAAAAACTCTTGTCCTGACCTTTGCTCCTGGCCACTCTGCTTTTGCTTTGACTGGGCCACGGCCACCTCGAGATGCTCTTGCTCTGATTGAGCCTTATCTTCAGGGTTAGGTTGGTAAAACCATAGTTCATCTCCTGACAATTCTTGGGAGAATTGTCTGTATCTGATCTTGTTGCAACAGTTATGACACAGATTAAGCAGAACGTTTGCTCAGCTTTACATTTTTTTGGTCAGAATTGTATAAGCTGAACTAACTGATATGTCTGTAATGTTGGCTATTGTATCTGTTAATCGTTCTTCAATTGGGACATAAGCAAGATGAATTTTTCCTTTAAATTGATGTGAATGGCTTGTTTCTCTGGGCTTCATCATCAACATTGACTTATCCCTTAAAATGTATTAGCCATTTGTAAACTGCTGATTTCTTTGGTGGCCCTGTCCCTTTAAGTGTTTTATAAAGCACCAATGATTTCACCATTTGTCCACCCAAGTTTCACCATAATTTGGTGTTTGCTCTTGCCTTAATGTAGCAGAAATCATGTTTTCCTGTTGTTCTGATCAGGGGTCTTTTCAGACAGAGCACTTTTCCTTCTTAGTGCCTCAAACTTGATCTTGTTTACAGATGTATGACAAGTTAGTACAGCTTAATTTGGGTGCCAAAAATATACTTGAACTCCATGCATAGATTTTTCATAATGCACATTTTCTTTGAACTTTTTGAAAACTCCTTGTACATGGTATGTGCTCTCAGATGGTTCTATGTTTCTTAGGTCTACCATTTTCTTATGTGTTTGCAATTGTTCACTTTCGCCTCTGTGTTCCCTGTTAGCCTGCCTTCATGTATGGACAGGGCTGGAAATGTGCGTGCTTATTGCTGGAGGTTGGACTCTGCGTGTCTTCGATAGTCAATGACATTTTGTTAGTGCTTGTGGAACGAATGAGGAAATTATTTATGGAGATTTGTTTAAGTGCTTTGTGGAGTTTCTAGTTGCAAGTTGTTTGATTTTTTAAAAAAAATCAATAAAAATGAAACAAGTCTTAATTTAGTGCCCAATAGGTGCCAGGCATGCGTCAGGTTGCTGCTACAAGGTCAGCAATGTGAAACCACCAGCTGCTCTGGGAGCAAGATGAGTCTTCCTACTCGCCCAAAGCTACACAGTCCTGGAAACCCACAGGCGCAGTTTATTCTGCTCTGTTGGGTTGCTGTGAGTCGTTTACTGCACAATACATTTTCAAAGTCTGCATGGGGGGATCCAAAGTACTCACTTTCCTTTAAAGTATACAAATCAAAACTCATTGCTATCATGTCAATGCTGACTCATAGCGATCCTATAGGACAGGGTAGAACCGCCTCTAGGCTTCCTCTTTATGGGAATAGAAAGCAGTCTCTCACAGCAATTGGTAGCACAGATAAATAGACAAATGAGGAGCTAAGGAAGTATTTCTATAAAGATGGTGTGGTGCAATATACTGGAATATTTACAGAATTATAGAATTCCAAAAAAAAATTACCCTTATTTCCAGAGAATATTAACTTGAAGAAGCATGTGAGCATTAACCAGTATGGTAATCCTTCCCTTCCTTTGTCAGAACCTGAGAATCAGCTGCAGGGTATATAGTCTGATTGAAAAAAACAAAAACATCAAAAACCCTTGATCAAAAAGAACTATTCTCTTGAAGAGTTGGGAATTTTCCATAAGGTAGTCATCCCGGAATCATATTGTTGGCAGTGAGTTTGGTTTTGACCTGTCCTTGGCTCAGCAGGGCCTTGCTCCATTTCATCGGATGAAACAGATGTGGTGCTCTGACGACAGTGAAATGGAGGAAGCAGTGTAGGTGGGTCATTGGAACACTTCTCCAAGGAAGTAATGTTTGAGCTGGAACCTTAAGTTGAAGAAGGAACAGCCCGCAGAGAGCCCTGATCCAATAGGAAGCAAGGTTGTTGGCTCAGGCAGAGGGAACACCTGGCGAGCTGGCTTTTGTACCTGTCGTGGTTAGCTATGGAGTCAACCATGGTGACCTATAGGCAGAGTTTTTTGAGGACTGAATTTTGGAAATAGATCACCAGGCCTTTCTTCTTAGTCTGGGAGAGCCACTGAAACCTGTTCAATCAGAGACCTACTCTATTTGAAGAAAAATTGCTTTCAGGGTTGAATTGTATGCCCATCACTAGTCAGTTGATACCAAGGGCTCAAGCAGAAAGCGATTGTTTTGAGATTGATGATGGCAACATGTGTTTGACACAATGGATGCATGTATGGATTGTGATAAGAGTTGTATGAGCCCCCAAAAAATGAATTAAAAAAATTATAGACAGTCCTTGGTGAAAATAACGGGTAGATGGCAGATGTGAGGCTTTTGGCAACATGGGAAAAACAATTCAGGTGTGTGGTCTGTAGTATTACATGAAGTAAAAACTTGGAAAACAGTAAAACTGAATTAGTTTAATAACTGAGGAACATGTAGGCTTTTATTAATACAGATTGCCAGTAAATGCCCATTTTGTGGGAAAAATTGGTAAAATTTTGAGATAATTTTGGGAGAATTTGGAACATTTCACTTTTTAAAAAATGAATAATTTTATTCATTTTTGAGATAATTCAGAGATTCTCTCATTAAGAACTAAGTTCATGCAATGATGACTGTATAACCCCACTCAAGGGGAACAGATAACAGAATTGTAGGTGAATAGAGATATTTGATGGTGTCAGATATGGCAAATAATAAGAATGTATGATAAGGTTTCCTGGGGGGTAGGGTGGGCGATGGAGGGGGTAAAGGGGTGCTGATATCAAAGAATTCAAGAAGAAAGAAAATGTTTTGAAATTGATGGTGGCAGCAATTGTGCAATTATGCTTGATCTTATTGAATTATGGATTGTTATATCTGTAAGCGCTTCTAATAAAATGATTTAAAAAAAGAATTGAATAAGGTCATAAAAATAACTTATAAATGAATTTATCTCTTGTTTTTTGTTTTAGATTTTGAAGATGATGATGTCTATGGCCAATCAGTAGAAGATGATTATTGCATTTCCCCATCAACAGGTGAACTGTTTTTAATAAATTATTTCCCCGATTTGAGCATTTAAAAATGTCCGTTAGAATATTATTCTGAAAGTGCTTTATAAAACCACCAGTGTTTGTTCCATACGCCCATTAGAGTTACATTAAAAAGATAACTAGATCCTAATTTCCAAAGATGTATAAAATACCTTTTTTAACAATAAATACAATTTAAAGTTTTGATTCTGTTAACTTAATTTGAAGAAAACTGAAGGTTGTGGTTTTCCCAGCAATCTTCGAAGCACCGTTTTAAACGTGCAGTTAATGTAAGTTATTTTGAAGTGTTAAAATACAGTCAATAATGAAATTCTGAAACTTTTAAAAAATTGTTTCATTGGCATAAATTCACATACCATACAATTCAATAGTTTAGTTCTGTTAAGAGCTGTACAGTTATCACCACAATCAATTTTAGAACGTTTTCTTCTTTCTAGTACTCATTGTGATTAGCTCCTGAGGTTTTAAAACTTTTGAGGGCAGGTAGCCATTACCTTTATATTCCTAGGTAGAATGAAGTGTCTGAGGACATAGTAGGTCCTCAGAAAGTTTGTGGAATTGTATTTTGTTTTTTCTCTTAAGTAGTTGCCGAATGATTTATCTGTTATCTAGGACTCACTGTTCATTTGTAGCTATTTACTGCTTGGAGTCTTCCTTAGAACTGTGACAGAACTCTGCTGTTCTGTCTGTGGGGACTGTCTTCTCTCTCTTCCACTGCACAGTTTGGTCTCCTGTCTGGCTTAGAAAGTCTATGTGTAGGGCCCTCTGAGTATCAGACAGTGAACCTATCATCATGCATAGACATCCTTTCATACTGAACTTTAGTTAATAGTTTACTGAACTTTAGCTTAGCTGTCGGTTGGAACGATTTGGAACATAGACCAAGTATGAATATGTCATTCTGACTGCTCTTGGAGTTAGCGGTGATTAAGGGTTTGGATTCCTCAATGATTCCACAGTAGAACTGCATCTTCTGTTTTATCCACTAAAAGATTTGTTCTTTGCAATGACAATAGGAAAACATTCTTGGTCTTTTCAGCAGAAGCAGTATTTGATCAAGAACTTCTCAATTTCCTTGACAATATACCTTGCTGGTGGGGAGGCTGGGGACTGGTAGCTGGGTAGTATTTTAGGAAAGTAGTTGATGACATTTTGTAAAGCAGACTACAGGTGGTAGAAAGTCCCCTGTGGTGCAAACAGATGCTCAGCTGCCAACCCAAAGGTGGGAGGTTTGAGTTTACCCAGGTACCTCAGAAGAAAGGTCTGGTGATCTCCCTCCAAATACCCAGCCATGGTAAACTCCATTGGGCACAGTTCTCTGTATACATGGGGTCATAATGAGCTAGAATCTACTAGATAGCAACTTGTGCCAAACGTTCCCTGGTGATAGAAATCTGCTGGAAGTAATTGTTAAAATACAAATTCCTGAAGTGGAAAGCCAATGTTTTGAGAATGATGATGGCAACAAATGTGCAAATGTGTTTGACACGATGTATGTATGGATTGTGATAAGCGTTGTACAAGCCCCCAATAAAATGATTTAAAAAAAATACACATTCCTGGTCCAATTCCTTCACTACTGAATTAGAACCTCTAGGGGAAGATGCCTGGGAACCCATGCCTCTTGAGTGCCTCATATGCTTTTTATTTAAGGTATTGGAGAAATAACTTTAGACAGTTTCAGGAGTCAGGTTTTGAATTCTTGAAATGTTTGTGTTTGTCAATTGCCTTAAGTTTCAAAATTCTGCGTGAATTTTTTTGTGTGTGCAGAAATCACTTCTATCAAAGTGTGTGATTTAAATAACAAAAATTATCTTCAGAAAATTACTTTGCTTGTATGTTTGAAATGGTAGAATACCTTTCTAAAGAAGTATTGATTGTAGGGCTTTGTCTATAAAGACCAACAGAAGGAGATTATGAAAAGGTGATGCTAATGTGTGACATCACAAGAACGAATTGTTTAGGACATTGGTGAGCAAGCAGTGCACACATTCTTCCTAGATTTCAGCGTCTCAGATTTAGTGATTCGTCTTTGGTGTTTTTGCAGCTACTCACTTGGCTTTCAAAGTGTGCCTTTTTGTTTTTCTTCTCTGTCTTCCTTGCTAATATGGAAGGCTTTTGATTCAAAATACTTCGCATCCCATTTATCCCATGGCCTGATTTAGGTGTTTCACACAAGCCATGGCATTATATTCTATGTATTTTAAATGTGGACAGTTTCTCGTGGATAACACATTCTTAAAAACATGTACACAAATCAACTGGGGGCCTCTTCCTAGTCAACATACATATCACAGACTCTTCCAGAAAGCTAAGGAATATAAACTCTCTGTACACAGAGTCATTGTGAGTCGGCATCTACTTGATAGCAACGAGTTTGGATTTTTGACTAACATTTTGCTTCTAGGATATAAGATCTATACTTACATCCTTTTAAACATATTCTTTAATTATATTTCATTACACTTAAACAGTTTCTAAGATTAAGTGCAGTGGGCATCTGAGTATATAGTGTCATTGTATGACTGAAAGTATGATTTGGCATAAGCTGAGTTCTAATTCTTGGTGAATTCTTGGATTCAAGTAAAATGAACAATTTTTTTTCTTTTTAAAATCATTTTATTGGGGGTTCTTACAACTCTTACCACCATCCATACATATGTCCATTGTGTCAAGGACATTTGTACATTTGTTGCCATCATCATTCTCAAAATATTTTTTACTTGAGCCCTTGGTATCAGCTCCTCATTTTTCCTTCCCTGCGGCCCCCCCCCCCACGAACCTTTGATAATTTATAAATTATTATTATTTTGTC